AAAGAGTTTGTCATTTTTTGAGGAAAACATGCCAGTGGGAATGCTGAGTACTGAGGAAAGTAGTATGGGATGAGGTGGAGAGGGAGGCAGGAGCCATAACTACATAAAGACTTAGTGGTCTTTGTCAGGGGTTTGAATTTTCTTCTAAGATTGGAAGCCATAAACTGGCTTTGAGCCAGGGAGAGACATAGAATAGTTTATGTATTAAAGAGGTCACTTTGCCTCCTGAATGAAGAAGAGACTACAGGGTTCAGGATAGAAGTAAGCATGAATGGATGCAGGGGACGCATGGTAGAACAGTGTGGTATCAGCTCTGGCTGAGTTGTTGATGGCTTGGCTAGGAGGTGTCCAAGGACATGGAGAGAAGTGGTCAATTTTAAGATCTATTTTATAGATCAAATTGTCTGTTTGCTGATGGAATGACTAGATATGAGGATGAGTAGCAAGAAGAAATCAAGGATGACTTAGGGTGGATGGTGATGCCATTTGCCAAGACAACAGGGAAAGGAATAGATTTGGGAAGAAAAGTTGAGATCATCTTTGGACGTGTTAAATGTGAGATGCTAGTTACTTCAGTGAAAATGACAAATGGTAGGTGGAGAAATAAGTCTGGAGCTCTGGGAGAGGTCTTTGCTATAGCTTTACATTTGTGAGTCATCAGCATGTAGATGAATTAAGTCATGGGGCTGGGAGGGATCACCCAGAGAGAGTGCAGCTAGATCAGAGAAGTGGGTGGAGGACAGCCTTCTTTACTACTAGAGAAAACAGGGGCTGAGTGAGGTTAGAGGGAAAGCAGGGGGATGGATCTCCCTAGGCTCCAAAAGAGAAAGGTGTGTCCTTGAAGGGGAATGCAGTCAACTTGGCATCCCTGAGAGGCTGAGTAAGACAAGGGCAGAAAAGAGATGAGAACACATGAGTTTTCAACATATAGGTCATTATGGTGACTGATAAAAGCAGTTTGGTACCCAAGACTCACTGGAGTACAGGGAAGGAGGGGTTAGAATGTGTAGCTGGCAAGGGTACTTCAAGAAGTTTTGCTGATTGGCTGGATCATGGATGCTTTTGCTTTTTCTGTTTGTATATTCTTATTTTCCAACAATGACCATTTATTAATTGTGAAGCAATTAATAATAATAAGAAGAAACACATTGCAGAGAGCACTCCATTGTTTATGAGAAAAGGAGAAATTCCTAATAGAACATGGCAGACCATCTTCCCTCCACCGTGATCTCTCCAGCCCCAGGCTTGCTATTCTCCACAAGCACCAATCTCGTGTCTGTTGCAGTGAGTATTTTTCCTTCTTCCCGGCTTCTACTATATATATAAATTTGGAGGCTTGTGCCAGGCATTAGCTGTGGCTGTGGCTCCCACTCTTCTCAGCATCTGTAAGCCACCCTGCCCCACACATGTCCGGGATCATTTAGTCACCTACCCACATACCACTCACCTAATTTCACCAATGCATCAATCCTATTGCTGCGGACAAATCTCGTTTCCTGTCTTCTACTTATCTGGCTTACAGTGGCAGGATAGGATAATAGGGGAAAAAAATAGGGCCTCAAAGTTAAACGCACATGGGTTCCTTACTCCATCTGTCACTTATTAGCTGTGTGACCTTGGGCAAGTCTGTCTCTTAATGGTCCTGTGCCTCGGTTTCTTCATCTGTAGAACCGGGTTAGTAAAAGCCACATCCTATCAGTTTTGCGATGCTTGGCATAAAGTAAGCTGGAATTGCGGCGGTCATCCTGGATCAGATTTGAGCGGAAGCGCTGGGCAACAATAGGTGAGAACTAGGATGTTTCAGAAAGGTGACCCGCCAGCGGGGCCTCTCAAATAACCGCAAGATGCCAAACGGTGTCTCTGCCCCTTCACAGGGCGTGTGCTGGTCGGGTGACCCGTCTTTCCAGTCTCCCCACACTCCGGGTCCGTGATCACGCGCCCCCCACCCATAGCTGAGCCTGACGCGGCGGTGACTCATGCGCCTTTCCGCTCCAGCCTCTTGCCACGGACCACACGTCGCATCCCTGCCGCCCGGCTCCGCCCCCCGCCCTGGGCGCGCCCCTCCGGCTTCCCGGCTCGGGTGTCTGAGCGGCCGCGCCCACGGGCCATGCGCACTGATTGGCTGCGCTGCGGCGGCGGGCAGCCCGTGGGCGCACACACCCTCCCCGCGCAGCCAATGGGAGTGTGCGCGTCACTGACTGGGCGGCCCGCGAGCCGGCAGCCCCTCAATAAGCCACATTGTTGCACGAAACTCCAACGCAGGAGTCCCCGGCTGCCGCTAGCAACGCCGAGTCACCTAGCCGAAAGGATCCGCGGAAGAGACCAGGACGCGTGTGAGCAGGAGAGGTGCGATCGCTTTAGTGGAGCCAGATTCCTCCCAAGTTGAGCCTTAGTGATCCCGTGGCTGAAGTTAGCGCCTTGAGAGCGGAGCAACCCGACACGTCACCGGGAGTGATTTCTTGGGCACCTTCTAGCAGTTGTGACTTCCAAAACCTGTTTCTAGATACTCGAGACCCTTCAGCTGGGCGCACCGTCGCAGTTAGCCCTCTTCGTGGGCCGCCCGGATTCACTGCTCCCGCTCGGGCCGCCTCGCTCGGGTACGAAGCTGTGCGACCGCGCCGCCTTCCTTCCCCACGCACTCTCCAGCCTTGATTTCCCAACTCGGCGCCGTCGGGCTTTGGCAGGATGATCGCCTCGCATCTGCTCGCCTACTTCTTCACGGAGCTCAACCATGACCAAGTGCAGAAGGTAAGTAAGCGCGGGTGGGGGCGGCCGGCTCGCCTCTGACAAAGTTGGCGCGGTCCCCGGCCCTTTCCCTGGGGTCCCAGCCTGGATTCTCCTTGACTCTGCGGGGACACGCTTCTTCCCCATTCCGGGCGGCGGACGTGGAAAATGTCTGGGCGGCCAGGAAACTCCTGGACACGAGGAGCCACGTCCGCTAGGCATCCGCAGGCGTGTGCGCGCGTGCAAGGCGCTGGGGCTCGCATTCCGCACAGTTCTCCCTCCCTGCCACTCTGCGCGCGCTTTTTTTTCTGGAGGGGCGAATCACCCGAAAGTAGCCTTAGACTGTGGGGCCCACGTGGGAGGAGCCCCTCTGTCTCTGCCCGAGTTCCGGCGAGAGCACGTGGGGAGAATCGTGGCTGGGGGAGGAGGCTCCGCTGCCTCGTGGGGCTGTAAGGGGCCTCCCGCGCGAAAGGACCGCGTTTGGGGGAAGTGTGGTTGCCTTTGGCATTTCTCACGGCCTTGGGCAGGTGGGCTTGGGGAGACGCCGACCCGGGAGGGAGCTGGGAAAGAGAGGAACTCCTCTCGCTGCGCCCCCTGCCCGGAACTGAGGCTCCCGGAACTGAGGCTCCGCAAGGGGCGGACACTCTCTGTCCCAACCCCCCCGCCTTCCCAAATCTACTTCGGAACCGCTCAGCCTTGGGTCCCCGGGGCCCACCTCCAAGTTGGGGGCGGGCTTGGGATGTTACTTCTGGTGCTCCTAAAGTTTCTCAGACAGAAGCAACTCCTCCCCACCCTACGCCCTTCTTCCCGTCTTCCTTGAGATTTTAGTTCTTCACAAACGAGCTTTTTCCTGCCCTTGGCCCTAACCTGTCTGCACCCACCTCGCTCTCTGCAGCCCCCGCCCCCCGCCCGAGCTCGCTCTTGGGCGGCGTCATTTACATAAGAAAGAGCCTCCGGCGGGGCCGGGAGCCTAGCTCACAGCGCCTCCGGGTATGGGGTGGGGGTGGGGCCTGGCTGGGCCCGTGGTGCTATCACTCTGGGGAGAATTGTTTCTGAAATTCTCTGGATTTCAGGATCGGCTCCTGGCGGGAGGCCTCAACTAGGATTTGAGGAGAGGGGATGGACTGGGGTGGTGGTGGACGGTGTCCAGTTCTCTGAGGCAGTGAAGGAACACTGCTCAATTACATCCTTGAAGTTTCTGTGTTTTAGTGGGAACACAGTTTTGGGGAAATGTCTTGACATTATCCTTTGCCGAGGGCAACCTGTTCGTATTCCCATTTTGGGGATACGAGAGCAGTGGAGAGGATTATGGGTCTTGGGTTTTTTTAGAGCGGTGGCAGATGAACCCCCAAATAAAGCATTGACATTACCCAGACTCAAACTGGAGTAGGGAGCAGAGGGGCGGCTGTTTGAGTTGAGTTTTACTCTGCTTATAAACGGTTGTTACTCTCTCATTCCTGGGACGTGGCCCTGCTCTGCACTTTAATTCAGTTTTTTTAAGAACCTATCTGTGAGCCAGCAGGATCTTGGCAACTTATTTGGGCTTCTCTGCCCAAGAAGTGAGTTAACACTTGGAGAAGACTGTCATCCCTTGGCAAGTCCTAAACTACAAAGCTGTAGGATCTTTAATCCAGCCGAGGGTCTTCTCTGTTGGGCGAATATCATCCCAGGACATTTAAATTCTTTTACCGATTTACACTTCCTCAATGCGGAGGAAGTTTCTTTTTGTAAAATGAGGATGACAATAGCAGCCTTGTCCACTTTATGGAGTTGTAATGATTAAGCACAGCAATGTGAAAGCGGCTTTCTTAAAGACTTCTCTCTACAGTTGTAGCTACCTTTCGGCCTTATGTGGTGTCCGGGGGACACTGTGTGTTTTTCCTCTAAATTACCAATGGGGGCAGAGTTGAGTCAGTCAGGCCTTTAACTCACCAGGTGTCAGAACCTGGGATTTAGCCTCTCCTGGCTTAGGCGAGCAGGACTGTTTGATTCCAGATGCAATTACATAGGAAGTAGGAAGAGAATCAGAGAATATTTTGGAACCATCTTTTCAAGTTGCTGCTAGAAGGAAGAATAAGGAGAGAAGAACACTTGAGTTTGGTTTTAGAGCCTTTTGAACAGGCCTTGATTTGGACTCTTCTGAAATCCCTCATCATCTGGATTGTAGTTTAAGGCATGGAAAACTTTGGTTCACTTGCCCAGAATTAGCCCCAGAGAGTCACTTGTCTCCTGATGGACAAGTCCAGTGTTTTCTGCCATAAGAAGAGGGGTTAGGGTTATTTGTTCATTTTTGCCAGTCGATACTTTGAAACTCAGGAGCAAACATATGCCGTCTACTGTGTACCAGGCACTGTTTTAAGCTCTTTACATATGCGAGCTTATTAACAACAATCTCATGAAGTAGATACAATTACAGTAAGTCCTTAATGATAGGCTCTGTGACTTTAAGTGAAATAACGTATAATGAAACCAGTTTTACTATAGTCTAATTTATATAAACAAGAGTCAAGTTCCTCTGGCATCTCATCTGTGTTAAAATGAAACAACATTGAACAAAACAATGTTTTTTGTGGACCTGCTGTATTTTCAGCATCTCTTTTTCACTTGTAAGGAACTGAGGCACAGAGTTAATTTGTCCAAGGCCACTGGATTTTTTGGTAAGAACTGGGAATTGAAGCCATGCTCTTGACCACCCTGCATGCCCTTATAAACATTAGTGGACTCTGTCCTGGCCCCTGTCTGCATTCACTCTTGGATGCTGACACCTTTACTCAACATGTCCAGAAATGCAACTATCTCTCCTCTTGGTTAGAGTAATGGCACTAGTAACCTCTGGCTATTCTGGTTGGGAGCCCTGGGCTCACTGACATTCCTTTCTGATTGCTACTTTAGAGGCTTCCCCATGGTTTCCCTGTTTCCAGTCTCTTTTTGGAGCCAGACTGGATCATTTCAGAGGCCTTTTAAGATACTGCACAACTGAATGCACCCTGACCTACCCCCCATCTCAGCCTCACCTTTTCTGTCTTCGTTCCCCCAAAACTTGAATCACCATCCCTCTAAATGTCATGCCTGTTCATGCGAGGTGATGATCATGGGTAATTTTGTCAGTGGTTGTTCATGGGTATTTTGTATCATTCCTACAGTACACTGGAGTTGGCAGTTTTCAGTTCTGGTTTCTTCTTCAGGGCAAGGATAATCTGGCTGTTCATCTTCGTAGCTACAGTTTCTGGCCATTAGTGAGGTGCTCAGTGAATGCAAGAATGAAGGAGAGTACCTTCCTGGATAAAGAAACTGAGCGGGGGCTGTAGGAAGTGGAGGAGGGTGAGAGGCAGCTGGGGGAACTGCTAGTACTGGGCTGAAGGGATGGGCGGATAGGTGGACCCTTAGAGGGAAAGGCAGTGGGCTATTCCTCCATCAAGTTTTGAGGCTTGGCTTGAGGATGATCCTGAGGGCAAATAGGGGGAGGCAGAAGGGAAAGGAATAGGGCTTTTCCTATCTATCCTCCAGCAATTAAGCCTTTATGTCCTGTCTGCAGAGAAGATTCTTTTTACTAATTAAGGTATAATTAATATACAAGATACAGGATTTCTGTCTCTTAGGAATGAGAATCTGGGTTAACTAACAAGTGAAATGAAGTATACCTGTCTTCTTTTAGCCATTGACCAGATTGTTTTAACATGCATAGACTGGTGACATATTTTCACTTCAGTCCCGGAATATAGATGGCTCCCTTGGGCTCCTTGTATGAGCCAGGGGTGGCTTTCAACTCTGGACTTATTGGGAGCAGGTTATCTTGGAATTAGAAAGGTTCAGTAGAGCCCCCAAGAGTCAAAATAGGCAAGAGAGTTTTAATGTTTTTTAAGAACTTACTATGGGTACAAGGGTACTATGTGGGAAATTGAAAGGCACCTTTCAGTTGTCTGATGAGATAAAGCTCCAGGGAAAGATACTTTACAGCCACTAAGGGCGGAGTCTCTCTGGGCTGTAGCAGTTAAGAGAGGGAGTTAGGGACTTTAAGGGAACCTTGATTGATATGTTTTGAGCACCTACTACGTACCATTAATCTTCAGATAAGGGATTAAAGTACTGGGAATAAACACTGATTATTAAAACCTTGATAAGGTTATTTTTGACTGAGTTAACCGACATTGACTGGTACAATTTGTCTCATTTGTTCAACTTGTAACCTAATACTTAGTATCCTAATACTGTCTTTTCTCTGCTCAGAAGATAGCTGATGGTAGTAGGAGTATTTTTTAGCCTTTGCTAACCATCCATTTGTTTTGTATTGTCAAATTTCTATTTCTGAGAGGTCTAGGAAGTACTTTTTTTCTTTACTTCTGAATGAATTAAAATTCCCTATGAAGCTCCTCAGACAAAGCCAACTTTTTTTTTTTTTTCAACTTCACTTTTCAAAGTTAAACTTTTTCAGCACCCTGAAGAGTCTGAGGGCAGTTAGGGGCCGTTTTCCAGGGGGAATCAAAACAACCCAAACCACAACGGTTTTTTTCGAAAAATCTGGCAGTCAGAGTTAGGAGATCTGATGTACCAAAAGAACTCAACCCCAGAAAACCAGCTAGCTCTCTTTGTTCAGTTGCTTCTGGTTTAAAAGACAACTTGATAACGGGCTCCTCATTATCATCGCTGAGGTTTGAAGTCAGCAAGTTTGGTTTGTTTTTGAACGCTGTGTGTTTTCTGTCTTTGCCTCTCCAAAGCAGTGGGGCTGTGTGGTGGGGGGTGACAAATCAAATCCCAGAGTTCATTGGCTGTGTCTTAATATTACAAGCCATGGATCGCTGGCCATGCTTCCCTGCACTCGAGTGGCTGTTTCTGCTAACTTTGAAAGGTCTCTCTACCTCAGTGCTATCGACGCTTTGGGATGGATGATCTTACGTGAGGGGCTATCCCAGCCTATCTTGAAGAGCAAGAATTCCACTCTATCTAAATTTACAGGGACAAAGCCTGTTTACTTGTTTATTTCTACTATTCCTTTGGAGCAATAGTTTTTCAACTATTAATGATTT